GTGTGCCTAGGTAGAGAAGCCATTGGTGGAATTGGGCGAGGTGTCTCAGGTGCAGTCCCATTTATTCAGAATGTCATGTGCACGGTAATTTGCAAAGATCAGCAGGAGTCAAACAATATGTTTCTTTTCTTACGGCTCCAGACCTCCTTCAGCAGTCTTGCTCTCTATGCCTTTTCTCTCACTGCACACAGTTTCTGTTTGTCTTTTACCTTTTCTGCTCCTCTCTTTGCGGTATTTCTGTCCTTTTTTTTTTTTATCCTTGTCACCCAGGATGACAGTTTCAGTACAATCAGTTTTCTTTTGAATTATTAGATGACCCTGTTGGCTCACAACTCTGCTCACACTCCTAAAATGCTCCTAAAATGCATATGCTGGTGCGAGCACGTTCCTGTTGTGTGCTGTGGTTATCTTATACAAGGTATCTGCCCTCACAAACAAGCTCAGCCATCATTTGCATTTAGCTTCACTGAAGGACACAGCAGCTTTAGTGGATTTCGTCCAATATCTAGCACCACAATATTTAAAAACTGAGTTTGTCCCCATTTCACTTTGATTTATTGATTTTTCACAAATCACCATTCTGTAATGAGATATGATTGTTGTATAGCTTTTATTAGTCAAATGTGATATATTAATAGGGCTATTAATTTGTTCTTGGCAGACCAAAGCGTAATCCTTCTGAACAAACTGAGATCCTTCCAGTGACTTTCAGATTTTGTCCTTTAGACCCAGGTTCCACAGACTCTTGTATCTATACTTAAATCTGATGTATATAAGCCTTTGTGCAACTGTGATTTCAGTATTCTGCTATGTGCTTTTTATGTTAAAATGTATTTTGATTAGGAAAAACGTTAAATACATTCTCAGACACTGAATCAGACTGATTTTGCCTTCTTTGCTAAACTGGGTGTAAGCGGACTCCCTTGCATCAGTGCTAAACCAGAGAAGTCAGGAGTGGTGAACGTGTTTCCACTGAGCTGTTTCCCTTCTCTTTCATCCTAGACTCCCAAAGCAGAATGAGCAACGCTGCGTTTTTATAACAGAGTGTCTCACTTTGTGTACCCTCTTCTGTCAGAAGAATCACCTCGTGAGCAGCAGTCATGTTTGTGACAAGCTGAACTGGCAAGGACCTTTCCTGTCTGCCCTCCCCATAACCTCTCCATTTCACAGCCAGTGTTCTGCTGTTCTAGCCAGCTGCTCTATATTTTCCTCTGGGAATAATGATGTAGTACAAACAAAACCATCATTTGGTCAGGAATTTTTAGGATAGACTACAAAACCAGTGTAATCTACAAGAAGTAACAAAAGCCATTAAAACACATGAAAAAGGAGAAGCAAATAAATGTAATTTATGGTGAGATTTGTGAAAAATTGTAAATGACAGACTTTTCAAACTTAGAAATTACTTTTCTTTTGTGATGGATCACACTTGACAAAGTTATTGTCACCACATTTCTCCCCTGTGAGAGCTGCCCTCTCTGCATAATTTGACTTCCTGCGTAGGAGGCAACAACTTACGCTTTTCTTCAATTTATTTTTATAGTATTTTTTTTCCAGTATCTCTAATCCCAAAGAGAAAGGGCCAGATCTTTATGTAACACGGCAACTATGTTTGTGCTTTTAATGTAAAACAAACCTGTTGTTTGGTGACATCAATGGAAAGATTCATTTTGATCTCAGAGGACCTTATTGCCTACAATATGTAGCATCTCTTTTGTAATGCTGGGTCTGAGTTAATACTTAAATCTGATTTTAGCTAGCTCTACAGAGAAATTTTTTTATGACGTGTTGGTTTGCATTGTTGTTTTAATGATTCTTTTTTCTTAGTTATGTAGAAATATTTTAAACTATCAGGCTTTTCTTTTCCTGCCCTTTCTCCCTACCTTTTTTGCGCCTCCTTTCTTTTTCATGCGTCCTTGATTTAGGCAATTTACTATTTGCAAAATCATAGTTTACAGCCAATATATCAGAGAGAGATGTTTGCTTTTCCTCTACTCTAATTTAGGTCTTGCTTGTAAACAGAAATTATATTGAGAATATTGCATAGAAAGCACTAATGAGGTCTAACAGGCTTGAGGAAATAAATATTCCATTTGGCTTTGGTCAAAACGATCTCATTCTGTACTCTTTTCAATTGCATCTTTGATATTTTCTTGCTAAAACCAATTACAGCCATGATAATAAAGGAAGAAACCACTGATAGCTAAATTCTCGCTTTGTAACACGTGAGACATCAAACACAAAATTTTACATTGCAAAAAAAGAAACAATGGAATACAATACCTAGTTCCTAGGTAGACAGAAAAGCAGACAGCAATGGACAAATACTTCTTTTCTTGTGTGTATTTATTAGATGCTGCCACGGTACCAGACGGCCTGGTCCTTTAATGATATATTTCTGTATTCTATTGTTAACTGCCATCCTGTTTGCACCATTAAGTAAACGCTTTCTAAAGATGCCCTGGGGAGCTATTACAGAGCAGTATGAATAATACAAATTTATTATTTTGCTCATCTGTCATACATTCTCTCTGGCACAGACACATTTAATACATCTGACTACACAGTTTTCCTAAGATGTCACATTCATTTGGTATTTTCTAAACCTTTCTGAATACTACAAATGCTTATTTGTGGCCACTGATACTAAACTTTTAAATGAATTTGCTTCACTTCAAAATAATTTCATTTCTGGTGTCAGTTTCAGTGACTTTTTCTGATGAGTTTTAGGCAAATATTCACTAAAAGCAAATCTGGAACGCATGGGTTTTGGATCTTGCTCTGAAATTGTTTCTAGGAATTCTTCTTGAGCAAGCAGGGCACAGAAATGTGTAATGGCTCTGAATTTCAAATGTTAAACAATAATTGCAGAAGTCGCAGTGACCAGTTTTCAACCAATCCAAACTGAAATATAATTACATAAAATCATTCATTAAATCATTTAAGACCATGAACATATACAGAGAAAGTGTCCTGTTTGCAGCCCGTTCCAGAACAGAAAAATGACTTGGGTACATTAGTTACAAACAGGCTGCTGATTTGAGGGTTTTTTAAAAATCAAAACAAAAAACCAAAACAAACAACCCCCCCCAAACTACCTTGTACTTACAAATAACAACATAAAATATGACATTTTATATCACTAATCTAGTTTTGTATGGGTTATAAGTGCCTGTAAAGCTGTGCAGGTTACTTAGTAAATGATGAATGAGCAATATAACATAACTTAGGACTATGTGTTTACAGAGTAAATAATTGAATAATTTTGAAAGATAATATAATTGAAGGAAACTGCAATACATCCCCTTGTATTTATGGAACAGAAGACAAATGCATTGTTTGGTTTTATTCAGTTCTTGTGTTGTCACAGTCCTTGTGTCTCAACTGAATTATCTAGGCTAAATTGAGACTTAGTGTGGTAATATTCAGCATGTCAAATAGAAAGCGTCAGAATATCTAAGTAGGTATGCTTATAAATGGAGTAACAGATTGTAATAGATTGTAATTGACAAATGGAGTAAGAGATTGTTTTCTAATATGTTTTTGGTAAGTTTCCTTCATCCTCTTGTTTAACTCGTTAAATATTCCTGTACTAATTTAGAGGAATATATTTCAGTTCATCATTGCAAAACTGTATCATCTGGTTACTTAAAAGAACTTTTAAAAAAATGTTAAAATAACTACAAATTTCTCTTTCAAAGGATACTAAGGTACATGATAGAATTATCTGTTTCCTTACATTGATAATCCAGGAAATAAATATATTAACATTTCCTTTATTTCTGTTTATATTGCATTTGTGAGAACTTTTGAACTGACTAATGCGAGCAATATTCACCACTTATTTCCTTTTCTTTATATGCATTGTGGTTTTTTAAGTGCCTGCTTACGCAGTTTTTTCCTTAATTTAACCATACTGGTAACTTCATGTGTATGTAATAGACGGCTGCACGCAGATGTTATGATACTGCAAAGCTTGTATCTTCCTGAAGTGCCCAAGCTGATGACTTCTGTGGCTTATGGCAATGGGTTCTTTTATGGATCTTGAGTTTACCTGCTTCACTGTAGGACAAATAATTGACAATCAAAGTGTTCTACTTACTATTAGTAGGTGAAATTGTTGAAACTGAATTTCTCTAGGTCTCCAAAAATGATATGCATATGAGGTATTCATTGAATCTAACACAATTCTAGGCAATTCTTGAGGGAACACGGTATAAGCTTTTGTATCTTTCAATAGCATGTGTGGTTGTGAAACAGATTTGGAGGAATGAAAAATATTTCAAGTTATGATGTTAATCAGTCTCTTCTCAGGCCTGAAAAACAGAATAACGTGGCAGCTACTGAATGTGTTACTCTTACCATACCAAGTTTCAGGGACAAATGGAATAATTCTTTGTGCATGGGAAAAATTGTATTATTAATCTAAGGTTTTGTAACAAAACCATTTGTATGTTATTGAGTTTTGGAAAGTTGGGTAGTCGGACTTGAAAAAAATAATTAAAAATTGGCACTGGGTGTAGCAGTTAGTGTAGGTGGTTACTAAACCTTCCTAGTCAGTGATAGCCACACCGTATGACTTCGAGGAATACCAGGAACAATATGCTGTTAATCATAAATTAAACCTCTATTTAGGTCTTTGTGACATCATAAGGAAAAGGTTTTCTATAATGTCACTCTCTGTGCTTCTTTGTCCTTCCCCTTGTTTCCCTAATAAGTACCATGATGGTTTTAAATTAATATTAAAATGTTTAAGAATTTTGAAAATAATGCCAGTAATACAAGCTTTTCTCTTTAGTAGTATGTGCTGTACTATGTAAGTTACACATATATATGTATATATATGTAAACTATGTAATTTTAATTTTTTTGCAAATTTTCCAGAATAGATGCAAACAAGGAACTACACTTGTATTCCGAAATGTCTATATTTCTGAGTTACAGAATTATGACTGTTTGTCTCTGTTCTCTGAATATGCATTGTTGGCTTTTTTAAATAGGCCTTGATGATTGCCTCCAACAATACATAAAAAATTTTGAAAGAGAAAAGATCAATGGTGAACAGCTGCTCCACATCACTCACCAAGAGCTTGAGGAATTGGGAGTCACTCGCATTGGCCACCAAGAACTGATACTGGAAGCAGTTGACCTGCTATGTGCATTGGTAAGTCATTTCTTGTATCACTCATCTTAATAATCTGGGTTTATAAATTTCCAAACCAAAATGAAAATAATATAGACTGCACTCACAGCTATGTGCTTCTACACACAGAGTGACTTTGCTTCATTAAGGGACAGATATGTACAGGCTTCTTTCAGCTGTAAAGAAAGTGTATATATATCCTTTTTATGATTATGTACTATGGTCTTTTATTGCTCTTCCTCTAACTTTCTGGTCTTGCATTCAAATCCTGTTGACTATCACTACTGGCATCCATATGGTTCTGTAATTATATGCCATATGCCCTCGTATTTCACTGACATTTGCCACACTGTACTAAACCAAGTAGACCTGAGTGTTTTAACCATGCCAGCCTTCAAAGGGATGGTACTAAGGAGCCAGAAGGTAATGCTAATTAGACTGGAAGATTGTTTAAAATGAGCTTTAAGATAAGACTGGAATGATAAAATTGACTTGAAAGTACAGACGTGTGTGTCAATTTAAAGGTGGGAGGTTTTTTAGGAACCTGCGAGCATCAAAATTTGGAAGAATGCTTTTTTCCATGTAACAAGTTATTAATTTAGTTAGCCTTTTAACAAAGTATTTTATAACATAAAATTATTTTTTCCTCTGTTATTTAATTCCTACCAGCTAATAAAATGCAGTGTATTAAATTAATTCTAAAATAAAAATAACTTTGCGTAGGTGAACAGATGAAAGGATATTGAAAATTCAAAAAAGTAAAATAGTAAAATTAAGTAGGTAAATTACATATGACAGTCCTAGTACTTTTATTTCTTTGTCAGGAGTTCTGCTTTTGCACAAACTAAGTTATCCTGTGGGATTTTGATATGATAAATTGTCTCCAACAGGAAAACTTAGGAGTAAGATAGAAAGCAAGAAGGAAAAATGCAGCTGAAGTAAGAAAAAAGTAGTATGATGTCCCTTTTATTACGCATACGCATAATTAGAGGTACTTGCAAGTACCTCTAATTTGCATATGCTTCTTGTAAGTACCTCTAATTACAAAATACACTTAATGTAGCTTGAGATCTACTCTTCCAAACTAAATAACATATATGTCCATATATCATATCATATGAGAGATATGATTTTGGCCTTGATGCAGCCATACCTGCAAACTGGTGCATACTGTATGACCCAGAAAACTATTGTGGTTTGGAAACAAAATTGAACTCCAGAGTTTTTTCTCTGAAACTTTGTTTTCCACATAAAAGGAAGGTAAATATCCCACAATGTTATGTTATCTAAAGAAGGGTGCAGTGCAGTGCCCTGACACTAGTCAGAAATAGCAGACCCAAGAAGTTTCCTCTGGAAACAGAACACCTTTCAGTCAAGTGTGCCCACTAGGAGGACCCTTGCTGATTTTTTGTTGTGGGTTTTTTTTTTATCTTTTTTATACAGAGACTGTACCTCTTAAACGCTGGCCCTGCTGCTGGTCAGTAGCGCAGTTCTTCTCTTACTGTTCTGTGTCATGACCTTGTTTTTTCTTTTAAAGCAGAATAGGGATTTTCCAGCTCCTGGTATCATTTATTTAGCCTCCTGCCTTTAAGCCTTTACCCTTCTTTTCTCACTCTGTCTCTAAAATGCCTGGTTCTTTTGGTTTGGGGTTTCTTTTTTTCCCTGCTTCTAAATTTTTATCTTCCTGCCCGTTCCATGTGTTTTCTGCTGCCTGAGCCTGCTGCCTGCGGCTCTGCTCTTGGGGGTTATTCTCTCGCTTCTGACATTTTTTTGCCTTGCTGTTCTGCACAATATATTACTCAACTCTTGCAGCTTCTTATGGAGCAATCATCACAAGTAAAAGCTGTACAAGACTGAATATAATATCTATTTTAATGTATAATAATTTATGAGAATTTTATCTATGTAACCAAAAAGCATTATTAAAAATTTCTCTTAATTCTTTTAAATAATGAAAATAATTGAATGGTAGGAGACCTGATGCTGCCTTTATTAACAACTGAAATGTACTTTTAAAATATTACAATTGTATTCTTATTCTGTACTAAATCTTGAAACACTAATAGATTGTTGCACTAAAATCTGACTGCTGGTTAAGTGATCAGAAAAAATTGTGAATTGGAGTTCATCACAGTAATTGATTTTTAGACTAGCTAGTTTAAAAAAAAACAGAGGAAAAACCTTATTATTTTTTTTTTTTTAAAAGGAGGGTATAGTTGTATCTGTGTTTTGTGTATGCCACTAAACAAGAACTAACATATAAGAAATCATATGAATCAGAATGTCTCAAGGAGTATGTCATTTTACCCCTGATTTCCTGAATTACATTATAAGCAAACTTAATAGAGTTTAGGGGCAGGTAGAATGCAGCCCCAGTCAGTAAGATACCTTAATGCATTGTATATGTGTTTATATATATGGACAGGGTGCACCGAGTACAAAGTATATTTCTAGATTCACATATACATGTACTTCAAAAATTTTTTTCAAAGCTTGCTATGAAAAGAATTGTGGGGAAACAAAAATTCAATCAATCTCGTCTAAAATTCCACATGTGGACGCTTGGTAACAGCAGGAGCAAGAGTTTATTCAGTCCCTCCATTTGCCCCATTCAGCATGGCATGTGTTCCCAGTCCTGTGCTGGCAGAACATCCACAATGCTGTAACACTGTATTTTCTTCCTGTCTGGATCACAGAGAGCTGCATTCCTGTTTCTATCAATATATGTCAGTCCTGCTTTGCACTCTGCATATCATCCACTCACTGGGCCATGTCAATGAGCATTGATTTTTTTTTTCCGTACATGGATTTCTTAATTGATTTCTGTTTGGCAATTGGCAGTGTCCAACTTCTGTGACCTATTTCTTCCAGGCAGCATTAGCAGGATGTTCCCCTCTGTCTTAGCTAGATGGGTTGTGTAACGCTTTAAACAGAAGCATCTCCAATGTACTGTAGAAATCTCTCAGGTGAGCTTAGGCTCAGTGATGCATCAGGAATTGAGCCGCACGCTGGGCATGAGTTCAGCTGCAGAACAGCTACGCTGCTTTGGGAAACCAAGAGAAATTTGACTGTCTTTGCTCAAGCTCTTGGAACACACTGAAAGTGCATGTTGTGAAGCCATATTTTCCATATGCGCTCCCCTAAGGGCCTGGCCATCAGCCCACTGCCCTTTGGGGGAGCGGGGAGTCGTTGGTTGGGGTTGCACATCGAAGAGCAACGTCTCTGCTTCTATCACAGTGATGCAAACCATTACATAGCATATACATAACTAATGCTGAGCCATAATCAAGGTTTTATGTGCAAGAGAAAACAAAACACAAAGGAGGCACCTTCTTTGTTTTTTCTTCCCTAAGATGGGAAGAAAAATCTATGGGTTCTGTCCTAACCCGTGGATTACCTGGACTCTCAAATGCAAATTATTAAAGGTAAGGAAGGTTTATTAGTACGCAATTGCCTTCAATATAATTTTATACCCAATTTTCACAGATAAACATGAAAAAAAACCCAACTAATATTATGTCTCAGTTATTTGATTCAAACCATCATATTACTTCTGAATAAAATCAGAAGAGATGTTACTAATGTGTAACAGATCATAATTTTTCTTCTGAAAGAAAGCTGAATTCAGAGCTTTCTTTAGGCATTACCGATGAGAATTCTATCCAGAAAAGATTCTACATGGGAAGAAGACAACCTGCAGTAGGAAAGAAAGATGTTGGAAATGTAAATAGGGAAAAATGAAAGTACTCAATACAGCTGTGCATAGCAGAATTGGCAAAATGCTGATATAGAAGTGTAAGTATTTTACTTTAAAAATCAAATAATTTAAATGTTGGAATAATTTGGTTTTTAAAGCGTAAAATTGCAGTGCAAAAGGTGAGAGTATCTTTCACTGTAGGAGGGAAAGTACTAGCACTTTCTTGGGATTGCTCAGGGTTGAATTTATGTGCTATGAAAGGAGAAGTCATAGGTGAGCCATACTTTCAGCTTCAATTCTTTGAAGGGAAGACATTCCAGAGAGACATCTTTGAGTAGTGTTTTAATTATGAAGAACATTGGGAATGATGGCTATGGAGAAAAATAGTATCTTAAAATCAAAGTCCTTTCTTACTTGTGTGGTCAGAAGTTATTCTGTAATTATTTATTTGAAGTGACCTAAATAATGTCTATGGACTAAAAAGTGCAGGCCATCTAGGATTTGGACTGTAATTTTATTATAGCTGAAATACTGGATATGTATTGGAGAACTAGTTGCACAAAGGCATTGACTGACTGAAGAAGTAGTAGAGCCTGGGGAAAATAATTCTTTGATAGACAGTAAAATATATTGGAAAGAAGGAAAAAGGAGCACTTTTGAGGTCAACATGGGTTGCTGTTCAAATCCATGCAAGTAAATTTAATTTAATTAGGACAGTATTGGAGTCAGTATGTTGTTAAAGCCCACATAAATTAAAATATAAACAGCCTAGTGGGAAGAAAGACTTTGATAATGAATGGAAGAAAAATGAATGTAAAATGAAAAGCATGCTCATATAGATTGTATCTAAAGTAATTAAAAGTACTGTTAATTCATAGGCATTCAGCTAGTGAAATTAGCCACTGTGTTGTGATAGCATTCAAGGAGAAATAAAGATTAGAAAATTTCTCTCTGCAGTTACTGCAAAAGCTACCAACCCAAGCATGATGGTTTTTCTGCTGGAAGGCAAAATAAAGTCACCTGTGGGTCAACGTGATTAGAACAACTGGTGTGAGTTTAATTTGCTTGCATATTTACTACTGTCTTTAAACAATGTATGGGGCATAGTTACCAAACACATATGCTTTGGGGGTTTTTCTAGCATTTTTCTTATAAATTTCTTTATTAGGAGTCTCTTTAACAGAATTACAACAGCAATAGTTGGTCAGACGGAAAGAGGTTTGCAACAATTAATTTTGAAGTATGCCACGCTGAAGATGAAGCAGCTACTCTTTCACAGCTGTCTCTGTATCTTTTGATATGATTGTTTCTTCTGAATTACAAT